TGATGGGAGGAGAGCCAGTGTTTGTGCGGGGTGTTCTTTAATTTCTAACATGCGCTCGGGTTGGGGTCAAATTGACCGTTCCAAGATTTTTCAGAAATGGTTTCCGAACGGCGCGGTGTAGCGGCGCCGAATTTCGCACAGCTGTAGGAAACTGAATAGCGGATCGTCTGGCATAGATAATTAGATGTGCCTTGTAAGGTCGCTGTCCTATGGCAAGTCAAAATCAGGCCATGCTTTCAGGGAAGGCAATTTCTAGGAATTCGTTCAATCTGACCCAATAACGGAGTGTTAGACGAAGCCATACATCTCTGAGATACTTTCTTAGACAGCACCATAATTGAATGAGCAAATTGCATTGACCTAGGGCCAGGTATAAAGGTCAGACCAAGGTCAAAACCAACCCTTTTTATTTCTTTAGGGCCTGCCGTATGGGATAGTTTCTTACGCCCGTTTCGAATTTATTGATAACAGGAATCGCATTAGGCACCCTACATGGACTTTTTAAGGATAATAGGTCATTAAACTAAAATGACCCAGGCCAACATGTTATTTGTAGGCAAATACTGTTGAGCATAATATTTGTCGCTTATTCAAATGCAAAACTCAAAATATTCTTGTAGGATTGGGTCACCATGACCTTCAAAGGAGCAAACAAGGTCACTGACCTCAAATGAAGATGTGAAATTTTGCTTAGAGCAGTTATCTAGGTTCAAGAGGCCCTTTGGAAACCAACCGGGAATTTGACCTTGTTCGACCGTATTTGGCCCGAAGGTCATGACTTAGGTACCTCAAACTTTGACCTAAGTGAGTTCATGTACAGGTCAATACACCCTGTGAATTTAGTGTTTCTAGCTTTCTTAGTTCTTGAGATATCGGGAGTTCAAATTGGTCCCCACCCGAGCAAAGGTTATCCAACCGGCCAGGACCTGGACATGGAGCTGGACCAGAAAGTCTGACATTATCAAACCAACGGCCCAGTCTTGCGATACTTCGCATCTTGCGATGCTTCGATGAACAGAATCGACCGGAAACTTAATGACATGAGAGTGTTTACTTCGTGCTCCTCTGACGACGATGGTTAGAGAAGGTTGACTAGATGGTCGCACGGTCTAGCACGCGTCAAC